GGGGGGGGGGGGAGATCCTATTTTTCTGATTTTTTTCTTAACTTTTTTAACTTCCCTAATAAAAAGGGAGAAAGACACAAGGGTTGGGCCAGTCAACTTTAAGGCCTTCCCATGTCTGACAGCCCCATTCCCCGTCCTGCGAGGAGAAAGCTGGGAGGGCGCACGGAGGTCGGTGGAGGGGCGATGGGCTTGCTGCCCAGTCTCCGAGTGCCCGGTGCTGGGCGCCGGGTGCCGGAAAAGGCGCACACGAGAGACTGGCTTGTGTTCAACGCTGAAGTAGAGACGAAGGACTGACCCGCGTTGGCAAAGCAGAGCCCACACGGGTGCATCGGGGGCAGTTCCGAGACGGGTGAGGCAGCAGGAGGCCCGGGCCGTGGGCGGTCGCGGGTCCCGGAGCCGGCCTGTGGCGCCTCTCGGAGGGGAGCGCGGCCGTGGACGCCTGGGCCATCCACACGCTGTACAGACTGCCCCGGGCGGTCTCGAGGCCGGACCCACTCGGTATTTCACGTGGCTTCGTTGCCACCCCGCCAGCTGGGCGCCGACTCCGGCAGGCGTTCCAGCCGGCCGTCCAGGCGGGCGGGCGTTTTGCCTGCTGCGCGTGGAGGGCCCAGCGGGGGCCGCACAGCAGTAAGCCGAGGGCCGAGCCCCACTGCCCAGCCGCAGAGCAGAGGGACGGGGCCACCCGCCAGGTGTGTGGCGTCCGGCGCTGCTGGAGCGGTGCCCTCGGCCCAGCTGGAGATCGCACCCCGCACCTGCCTCTCGCCCGAGCTCGGCGGGCCGGGGGGCGGTGAGTCAGCAGCGCAACGCCCGGAGCGGACAGAGCAGATGAGCAGCCTTCTGCGTTTGTCCAGATTTTTTCCTGGACTATATTGGGAGCTGGCCTTTTGCTGTCGATGGCGTCTCCACGCTTCACGCCGCTGACGGAGAGCTGCGGGCACGAGATGGTGATCTTTCCGCGCGAACGCGCGAAGTCGCCGCCGCACGCAGGGTGTCAGGGTGTGGGCCCGGCGCTAAATCGAGAGCCTTTGAAGGTCACCCTTAAAGGGACGGCAGCTTCCGCCACCAGGATCCTCACGAGATCTGCAGCCTCCGGGCGTAAGGGAAGGGGGGGCATCGCCGAGCTTCCAGGCCTACGGGATGGGAAGTGTCGGACCGCGCCTGCCCGTCTGCGCCCCCCGCTTCTCATCCCCTCTAGTCCACGAGCCTTCACCGCGCTGGGGGGACAGGAAAGGGTGGGCGCTCCCTCAAGGCTGCGGCCGTGACAGGAGCGACAGGAGCCCGGCGGGTTTGTGCGCGAGCCCGCCCGCCCGCCGCCAGCCCTCAGCCGCCTGCTCCGGGAATAATGAGGCTCCGCTTTCTAGGACGGGCAGGTTTCCCCGCCAGCCTCTGCCATCCTTCCCCGTTCGCATTCCCACCCGGGCTCCTCAAATTACTGGGAAGGAACCTCAGAAAAATTACTTCCAAGTTAAATTTTAAATTGCAGGTTGGCTGCTTCCTATTATTAGCACCTGAAGAGGTACACCGGCAAGTTCACGGGCATCCCGGGCGAGGCGCCCGCCTGGCAGCCTTAAGACCGTGAGCTGCTCGGGGGCCCTGCAGCCCGTCTGAGCTAATTGAGCCTGAAATTCCAGGAGATGGGCCGTCCTCGGGGACGGCGCCCTGTGGTTCTGCGTCTGCCCCGTGCGTGCTTCCCCTGGGTCCTTAGGGACACCGCAGCGAGGCGTCCCTGGGGCAGGAGGGGTGGGCGGACGAAGGCAGTCATCGCGGGAGCCAGCCTGGGACCCTGCAGGCGTCGGCCCCACCCTGCCGAGCGGATTGTCACTGGGGGCGTCGCTCACTGTCGTCTGACTCTTGGCTCTGTCTCAGTCATACGCTTGCTTTCTAATTACAAAAGGAACCCATATGTTCCTTTTATAGGAAATTAGATAATGTGGGTAAGCAAAGAAAGGCAGATAATATCCGTAATCCTGGCTAGCAAGAGAGAGTTACCAGGGCTCTTTGGTGCCTCTTTTTCCAGACCTTCCTATGGACGTGTTTGTGTGAGCACTTTTCTTGTAAAAAAAAAAA